AACAAGCCAGCAAAAAAACAGGCATGTAACCAAACAGACATTCATATAAGAAAGACAGTTATTTGGTTGCAATAATGAGGTGGGCATCAGTACATAGCAACAATTACTGACTGACTGATCACTGACTTCTTACAGTTATTTGCCCAAGGACATAACTCATACCATGATGCTTAATGAAACTTTGTTGTAGTTGTAGGTAGTACTCTATTGTGTTTTAATTTTCTTGAGGGAAGTGAATTCTTCCCAAAATACAGTGTCTAATTTGTAAATATTTCCAAAGATGGCCATGTCCCTTCAGGTTGAATTTCTACCTCATTATGTCATAGGACAGGAAATTGCCCTCTTCCAACAAGTCATTAAGTAGTTCTGATAACTTGTCAACCACTGAGCACAATAAATTGTATGTTTGCCTATATTTATTGTGGGGTTGTACCAAATATATGCATATGTTTGATTATAATGAGAGATCGTAGGCTATATGTTTAGGTACTGCCAGTACAGTCTTTGAATGTGCTAGAAACGCATGCATCATGTTAGTTTCGTCCTTTTTTTAATGTTTGTGCTGGAGCATCAATTGTTTTAAATGAGATTAAGTTCTCGATAAGTTAACAACCCTGACTGAAAAAGTGGTTAACCAGCCCAGGGTGGATGAGATTTACATACCGAGGATGAGACAGGTAACGTCCAGCAGGATGAGAGGGATCCCTGAAGCTTCAAACATGCTGCGTCTCCTTCTTCTGGTCTCTGACTTTGTAAAAAATGTCCGGCGCCGGCTGCTTTTAGGCGACACGAGACGCAGCCTATCTGCCGCACATGTCTCGCTATTTCAGCACAAAATTAAAACACACCAGTGTCATTGTGCTGCCACCAAACTCCGGTAATGTCCGAGAAGCTAAAAAACTACCGGGAAGGGTTAAATATATATATATACTCTAGGTGAAAAACACTCCGCTAAAGTCTAAAACTAATCTAACACCACCACACACGTAAAGAGCCTCTCACCCTTTTAACTGCTCACACATCATCATAACACTGCAGGATTTCTTCAGCTCATAATACCGTCCAGTTCTCAGAAGAGACCGGTGAGGTACGGGCACGAGCGATCTCCCTTTGTGATTTATGCTGCCTTCACGTACAGGGCGGATAAATTAGATGTGGTGAATGCAGCAGGCAACCTGCAGTCTGTCAAACCATTGAGTGGGAGGAGTTTGGTGATAAACAGTCTGTGTGTCAACTGGTGTGCTAATTTAATTAAAAATGTATTTGGGAAGAGTCCCGTCTAAACCACAATATCAACCAAGATTAAATAGGTTTGAAGGATAGGCTCACAATTTCTGTCTTCAAACATTAGTCAGGTGCCCAACATTGAAACAGGTTTTGATTATTGTAATAATTTCTCCTCATACTGGCCATTAAGAGATCCCTTCCAGATGCACTTTCAGTGTAAGTGATGGAGAACTAAATCTACAGACCTCGTTTTATGCAAGAATGTATTCAGAGATTTTGTCTGAAGTTTAAATGAGACTTCAGCAGAGTTACACAAATCAAAGACGTATCTTCCAAAGTCTTTTAAGCACTAAATCCCCTCCTCACCCTATTACTATCATTAAACTGCAGCTCAACAAGGTATGGGGGTCAAGGGACCCAGCAGCTCTGCCATGCCATTTCTTAATTTTCTATGAAACGACTTCAATCAATCATCTGACAATTGAGTGTTTAAACTTCATACTTGCTATTTTCCACAATGGTTTAAATTTAGCTTATTTAAGTCAAAGTGAAAATGTGTTTTCAGAACAAATATCAGTTTCTGTTTAATACTTAGCTAACGTCATTATTGAGGTATAGGCCTACTGTCTACAGTCTGGCCCTCTGTGATTCAAGTCATCCTGATCGGAGTAAAGTCCTGTTTGTCAAGGTAACAACACAATGAGTGTGTGAAATCTTTTCTATTGGACTTCCGTGGTTTCTTGAATGCAGCACAGGATAGGGAAATGGTAATAGGAGTTTCGGCCTATCGCGTGCCTGTGCTCACGCTACGACAGCCGTCTGCTGATGCAGAGCTGCTCCTCCCTCCGCGTGCGTCTACAGAGGTAACGAGGTTACATCACTATTAATAGAAGAGAGTTTACCGTTTCCAACTCGATGCGTCACATAGATTAAACCAGGGGCGGCTTGTTCATTAGGGCGACTGGGCGACGCGCCGCCAAGCGATTTCAGTCTGGTTGTAAATCGCCCATGTGTCTCCCATAGACTTTCATGTAAAGGCAGTTTCTATGGAGGACTGATCCCGACAAATTCAGAAATAAATACAGAAATAAATAAATGTACAATAAATAAATAAGCATCCGATTAAATGCACAAAAAATAAGTAAATAAATAAATGTAGGCAGTAATTAAATTATACAAGGAGACATAAATGTATATATCTCTTTTAATTAGCTTCTCTGCTTATTCACCTTTGTAATAATTACCTTATTTATTTATTTATATACCGTTATAATCTTCAACTTTATTTAGTAATTACTTCTTTTTTAAATGTATTTATTTATGTTTGTTTTAATATTTTTGTCTGTTTTATTCTTCCGTTGCATTTTCTACCCTATTTATTTCCACAATGGTATTTATTTCTGCCTGTCCTTTTTACATTTCTCTATGCATTTCTGCCTCATTATGCAAATGAGGAGGGGCTGTGTCTCAAGGGGTGAACTTCTCCCCTATTGGTGGACCAGTCAGACGGGATAGGCCTACTCTACCTGCACACATCAACAAGCTTGATCCTGACACAGTCAGCTTCCTTCAGTGCGCTGAGGTGTTTAGCAACTCTGTTTGAATACAGTACTACCAGCCATGTCTTCCTTCTTTACCCGCTGTGGACTGTTCATTCATTGTAGACACTGACAATGAACTTCAGGATGTAGCTGTTCACAAATACTGTACAGCATGTAGCCTGAGGAACAATCCTTGTCTTATAGCAGACTAAGACCTTTGAACTGGTCACCTGAGAGATTTGGCAGGAGCCGCCACTGGATTAAACACAGACGTGAAGGACTCCAACCCATGTTTATTTCTGGTGTTTAGGAGGTACATTTATCTTAAAGCCTAAATGTAGGGTACATAGGTATTTTGTGTCATAGGCTATTGTCATAACCTCAAGATGTTGTTCGGCCTACTTTATGTCATAGTGTTAGATTAAAATGTCTTCATTCATAGCATAATTTTTTAACAGGTATTGGTGGAAGAAGTACTGATACCATTTTTTAGAAAGTAGGCCAACATGTAATACTACCCTAACTGAAAATACCATTACATGTAGGCCTAATTTAATTTAATTCAAAACTTTATCTGCATAAAGTAGTGGGCTTAGTATTAACTTTACTATACTTTAAGTATGAAAAGTAGTAGTATGCCTACTCAACTGCCCCTTTCAAACTGGTACTAATCGTGTATACTAAATTTGCCCAGCCCTACCTGCCCATCATCCTGTGTGAGCTTCCTGGGCCACACACAGTGCATACTATAAATGTGTGCACATACAAACCTGCCCTATTGTTATTACTCTTATATTTTGTACATCTTGTCAATTTAATATTTTAATATTTTATATTTATAAATGTGTTATGTTTATTGTTGTGCACCAATATACCAAGACCAATTCCTTGTATGTGTAAACCTACTTTTATCATTCTGATTATTATTAAGTCTGACCCATGTAGTTCCAAAGCAAATGGCTGCCTGACGGCTCGGTAAAGCACTGAAAATATTTTTAATGTAGCGTACACTTGAACTGATATTGATTTTTTTTTCAGTGGGCCTTCTTTTAGGTGGCTAAAAAAAAATTTCTGCTGACCCTGTCCACAGCAATACATTACTTAGCTTTTGTCCCAGTAAAACTCTCTGCTTCTCTAAACTGGGGACACACTGACCGAAATCCACTGCAGGTAATACACTGACTATGGATAAGTACAGCCCCACTTCAAAAATCTCTAACTATACCTTTAATCCTTCAGTTAGTCAGAAAAAATAACAGCGGAAATACCTGGATTTCACTGGACAGGAAGGGTTTGAAAAATTGTATTCTGAAAGTAACTGAAGCTGTCAGACAAATGTAAGTAGAAGTAGAAAGTTGCATAAAATGGAAAATACAAGTACCTCTAATTTGTACTTGAGTAAAAGTACTTAACTACATTCTACCACTGATCTAGATGCATACGATGAAGCCATTCAGAGGCCAAGTGCCAGGATGTGGGATTAAAGTGGTCGTCATACCTCGTCATATCTTTGAGGTATGATATCTATTGTACCGCCATTTCTTAAGGATTGGTAAAGGTGCTCACTTGGCTCCCGGTCCCAACAGACCCTCTTTATGCAAGAGAGAAGAAGGTGGAGAGAAGTTAAGGTGTGGTCCCTTACATACTTTTATGCTTGTGTCAATAAAACACTTATGAATAGAGAATGAGAGGAACAAAAACTTTCATTAGACTTTAAATTCAAAAACTCTATTTATCAGTGACTGTTTTGTGTTATTGTACAGTACAATGCTTAGGGCAGTAACTAACCGACTTGGGGGTGGCAGGGCTAAACTTGTATTATGCAGATGTTTTGACTTGTCAGACAGATATAGTACTAATAGATAAGTACAGCTAAGCTGCTGCTTGCTTAAGTGCATCAAACAGAGACAGCATTAATGTTGTTAGTGAAACCCATACTTTCTCTGTAAAAATGTATGTTGTTAAAAAAACGTCTGTGAATCAGATTTACTTGGGAGGGATAAAGAAACAAGAGATGATGTCTTCAAACAGATGACAGGGAAAAAACAGAGATGCTCATTAGGTAAACATGTAATTTAAATTAGGAATATGAAGAAACCTAATCTTGCTCTTGACTTCACTCTCCCTCACAGCAGAAGAGCTTTGATTCTTTTGTGCTGGCCAAAGTTTATCATGCGTTTTGTTTTTGCACAACAGAAATGAATAAGAAAGATGAGAAAACCCACATGCAAGTTATTTCAATAAAATGCTACCTTTTATTACACGTTTGCGCAGTAATGAAAACATTCATACATTTGGAAAGATAAATATGCAGGGGATTGTTTGTTGCATGACAGAAAAAACATTTTGGAAACCACATTAAACCACACAAAATATTAATGGCAGCTTTTGCCATATTCCCTCTTTGACTTCTCTATGGAAAGAAAACATACAGTGGACAAATAAATTATACAATCCATTTTTATTGACACATTATTGACCAGCCATTTGTTCTGATGTCAGTTTTGCACAAGTTTATGTGTCCATAGAAAAACACAGTAAATCGCCTTTTGTTTGAAGCTGAATAATTAATGTAAGTAAACATAAATTACCATTGAAAACAAGAACATACATAACAGTGACTAATAATATCACCAAAGTCCTGTTATCTCATCACCAACCGCAGCTGAATTGTCCTCATTAAGTTACCTTGTTTTTCTGCTTCTGGGAGTTCAAATGGAGCTCAATCTCTCGTTTGAAGACCAGCTCCCCCAACTGGCCATGCGAGGCCTCGCTCATTGCTTTGGTCTGCATACACATCTTGTACTTGTCTGGAGGGAGCTCATCTGCACAGTTCTTCTCGTGCCACAAGTGGAAAAGGCTGCGAGACGGAGAGCGAATCACCATCAGCTTACTGTGAAGGTACTTCCTGTACAAGTGTACGTCCTCTAACCCCCAGCCTTTGATGTTGCGGTCAAAACCACCTGCCGGAAAATAAGGGAAGTGCAGACTTATACAGTGAGAATCAGGAGGCGTAGTATAACTTAACGTTATTATGCTTGTTTAGTGGCTGAGTGAAAATCATAGTCAAAAACAGCCTTTTAAGAGAATCTTGTTTCCTTAACTTGATGTATTGAAATGACAAAACTGCTGTTGCAGCAATATGCAATCACTGAAAAGATTGTGAAAGCTTTATATAAAAATCCACAGAATATTATATGTTTATGCGTTTATTGCCACATAAGGTATGCATATATTGGCTGTTAGTCATATTTAATTGTCTATTGTCTTTCAAAACATGAAACTAGTGACGACACCAGCTTTGTAATTACCTATGTTGATGAAATCAGACCTGTACTGGCACGTCATGCCAAACCCAAAGTCTCTCCAAAATCCAGTTTCCTTTTTTATCGCCTGAAACAAAAGGCAGAAAATCTGTCTTATAAACCTGAACATTTGCTCTTATTCATTCACATAAATTTAACTGTTTGTTGTCATTTTTGTACCTACCAGTTGTTGTTGAACAGAGGGTAGAATTGTTTGATTACTGTAGATGATAGATGGGTTGTACTGGCTGAAGAGCACTGGATAGTACACCTTCTTACCTAGAGACAAGAAAAGATAAACAGACATGCTCAAATGCCCAGTGACATAACTTTTAATTCTCAAGACCCTACACACCCTTCTTACCCACTGGTGTTTCCATTATCTAACCATGCCTGATTAGATATTTTCTCAGGTCTCTTTGTGTGTATTTCTCCAGTTAGTCTTTTTTTAGGGTATGTCAACTTACACCTTATCCCTGGACCCATGATAAACTATGGACGTGACTTCCACTACATTTATCTAACAGCTTCAGTCACTAGTTACTTTAGGAAGTAAGTACAGTTACATTTGTTGATTGAAAGAAAGGGAACTATTTTGATAATGGTTGATGTTATTTTTCATGTGAAAACATTGCATGGTTCCTGCTTCACAAATGTGTAGTGTTAATTAAGTTCCTTTTTAAGGTTTGGACTGACAAAACAAGCATTGTGAAGGTGTCACTTTGGGCTCTGGGCAATTGTGACTACATTTATCACATTAAATTAAATTAATTAATGAAGAAAATTATCAGCAAATTAATCCATAATGAAAAAAAAGTCATTAATTACAGTGTGATACAAAATAGTTCAACCTCAACCAACTCCAACAGTAAAATCCTGCTTATACATTACTGCGTGATTAGTAATAATCTAATGATATAATATAAAGTAGTATAACAGTCACAGGGGACATTTTTCATCCGCATTGAGTGCTTTTAACACTTTAAGTACATTTTCCTGATTATACTTACATACTTTTACTTAAGAAACATTTTCAATGCTGTACTTTTACTCGTTACTGAGTATTTTTAGAGTTAGGTATTAGTACTTTTACTTAAGCAAAGGATCTGAATACTTCATCCACTACTGGCTGACAGTGAAGTGATGAACAGAATGAAAAGCTCTGAGGCTTATCAGTAATTCAACAGTAACAGGGTCGGGTGCATTCTTCAGATCATCCTCCTAATACTCTGTTAGATGGAAGAGGTAAATTCACATTATCTCCTTTAAGGGGTGTGTCCCCACATCATTTGTTTCCCCCAAAATCTCAAAGAATGGAGAAAACATCTGTTTCATACCACTAACTCTCAGTGAAACGAATAACTGGTAACTATAATCACAGGATGTATCATAAAGTTAGGAATAAGGTGGATTGCCTGAGCTCCATTTGGTCATGCCGGTATGCTGCTGGTTATGAAGGAGCACGGACAGGAAGACTTTCTGAAATGGAGTTCAGTTCCTTTTACCAGCCACAAAAAAGAAATATGTGCTAAGTTGTATTTATTGATTATGATGCTGTTGGAACATGTGAAAGTAGCATGTGCAGTTTTGTGAGCCAAATTGAAATGCAATGGTTTCCCCGCCAGCAAATTTGGCACACAAATTGAAATGGCTCAAAGGAGCACTTTACAGGTCATCTTTTTTGAGCCCACCCAATAGTACATGGACTTTGGTGACCTCACATTCCCTGTAGAGCTCTGTCCAACTACAACCTGAGCCAAGGTCCAATGAGCCAGGATGATTGAAAGCACCTGTGTGGGAGTGCAGGGCCTTTAATTAATTCAGTGAAACAAACAGCAGAAACAATGTGACTTCTCAGGCAATGTTATTATTAGTTGTTTTACTCTTGTAGAACATGGTTATAGTATGAATCAAGGCTGGATAACATCTCTGTGGTAAAAGAAGAAAAAAGCTGCATAATGTTGAAAAAGCTCCTTAGTAAATGTTTCATACAGCTTGAAGTGAAGCAATCCTCTCTCTTTCTCACCAGGCTCTGCGTTGAGACGACAGGAAGTTAAGAAGTCAGCGGTGAAGTGGATGTCAACATCACAGAAGAAGAGCAGGACATTCTGACTCCGCCTCCAAGCCCTGGCGCCCACCTCCAAGCCCCGCCCGCGAGAAAACTCCTCATTCAGCTGGATCAAAGTGAAGCTCCGGAACCGAGTCTCTCTGGGGGACAGAAGAACAAGAAGAAGGGCTGCCATTAGAAAACATCATCTGTGTTTAATTAGACAGGTACTCTGATGCCCCTGAGTGTTTTAATTTGAAATCAATCAAAAATAACCAACCTGCAGACATAAAGTATCACCAGACTGATGCAGTATTACATTCTACAGTATTTTACTCCCAAAAAACTAAGGTATAAAATATTTATCATCCCAGTTTATACACGAGAGAGGGGTGTGTGTTTTGCTCCCTGGGGAACCAGAGGTGTCAGGGGACTAGCTTATCATTAGCTTATTATTAGCCTGCAGCTGATACACTGAACACTGATACTCTATGTGTGGGTTTTTTATTTTATTTTACGGCCCAAACATCTGCAGAGCAGCACAGACACATCTGTGCGAGCGAATTCCAAAAGAAGAAGAAGAAACAGATTTCTATATGTCTTGCCAGAGGAGTGGACTCGAGTCACATGACTTCAACTCAGGTCATGAATCTGATGACTTGACAAAATAAAAAAAAGACTTGCAACTCAGCTTGGACTTCAACTGTTTTGAAATGATGTTATAAGAACGTGTGCTGCTAATCAATTCCTCATTTTTCCTGCCAAACAAATATACTTCGACTCTATCACAGCAGTCGGTTATGTTGGGCAGGCAGGAGGGAAAGGTGTGCTTGGCAGTGCAGACCATTATACAACAGACAAACCAATGATACCTGAGATTATCACATTCAAATAAATGTAAAGTCTGTGCTCTGGTCAACCAAAACTAGATGGAAACATGCAAAACATTCAGCTCAGAATGACTGTAATTGTGCCACAGGAGTATCTCATAGAGGTAAACTTGATCATGTTGTTAGGTTTATTTGAAAGTAATTGATAAAAAATTGAATAAGCATTCATTAATTATGTATTGTACTTTTGTACTGTTAAACATTGAAAATAGCATTACATTTGGTGAAAGGTGCAAAATGACTTTTAGGAATTGAAAACATAAAGTTTAGGATTTGGTCTTAACTTAGGAGTTGACTCAGGACAGTGACTTTGTCCCACCTGTGGACCCTGCACACTTTACTCATTATTAGTTATTAATTAGTTCTTATTAGTTGTTATGACCCCCAGAAAGGCTCTATTTTAAGAGGTCAGTAACATAATTTATAGCGTCAGAGAGAGTCCAATGAACAATTATTTTATCTGATCTTTTTTTTGTCAGATAAAGGTGTGACCCTAAAAATTGTTACCAACAAAAAGAAATAAAAAGGGAATAACAGGCTCTGCAAAACTGCAAAAATAAATAAATAAATTCTTTACCAAAACTGGAAATTAAAGGGTTATTAAGGCACAAAACATGGAGCTACTTGACTTAAATTATATTTAATAAAGAATACATTTGTAAATATTTTATATTTTATACTAAAGTATAGAGGAGAAATACAATACAATCATATAAAATACAACTTAAACATAATTTATACCTGTGACAAACCTTGACTGTGTTGTTCAATGATCTATGATCAGAGGAAGATACTGTAGGTGAATATTGTTTAAGGGTGGCAACACATTAAGCCAATGTGACATTAGCTGATGGTTCAACTGTAAATTGTCTACATTTACCTTGTTGTCTGGTCCAGCATGGCTTTCACCTGGCCGATCTGATCTCGACCAAAGTAGACAACAGTGAGATGAACCCTGCCATCCTGCTGAATGCACACTTCTCTGAACCAAAAAACAATTAAGGAGGCATTATATAAAGTAAATAAACATGTGTTAGGCCCACTTCTGAGATCCAGACATAGCCATAAATTACCTTTTTTTTTAATATATGGACAACAATTCGATTCACTCCTCTAAAGCCTTTAAAATCTATAAATTCCTCATTTTCTCTGAAGTGGCAAGGAGTCTTATTAAGATAAGGACTCACTCAGCACTTCCAAATGTATTACTAAAGTTTGAGATCAATAATGTCATGATACAATCACAGTAGGGCCTGGGAGTGGGTGCCAATGTGTAAATTCACTTTCAGATGATACCTGAAGTTGTTCATGAACTGCCTGAATGCGTCCGCCCTCTTGGAAAGAGGTACGATGATGTTGATCAGCATGCTGTGTGTGTCTACGCTCTCGCTCTTAACCTTCACCACAGGACCGAATGGCCTGAAGAGCACGAGCTGTGTGAAGTCCCGTGGGCCGTCTCCTTTAAACATCAGCTCGTAAACGGTTCCTCTGTCCCGCTCTGTACGAGTCAACCCTGTGATAGAAACAGAGAAAACAGCATATATTACATCCCAAATCTATATTTTCTTATAATTCCTTAGAAAATAACTAATGACAGTAAGTTCATAAGGTTCCTGCAAAGGACTATATTATTTGGTAATAATTACAGGGATACTGGAGACAGTGTTTAACTGTTTTGTTTGATTTAATTAATTTCCAATTAATTGATTGAAACCCAGAGAGCCTTTTAGTCAGTAGCCTATCCAGCAGGTTAGTTGATGTGAAATGTGAAATTTGTCAATAATATAATTCAACATGTATGTGACAAACCACCGTCTCTACATACCAATGAACCTGGCTTTTTGGTGTTGCAGTCAAGTTGCATGTTTGGTACCCTGTAGACCTGGGTTCGAATCCGGGTGGGGTGACTGCTCTTGCCTTTCCGTCACAATGTATGAAAATTTTATTTTCCAATAATGAATGAATACTTACTTGGGTTTGAATGGAAAAAGAAGATTCCTGTTTATAAACTTATCACAACTAACTAAACTGAAATTACTAGCAAATCACAAATATCGTTTTCAAGATGTTAATAACGAGGCACCTGTTTCAGACGGTGTTGCTATGAGATTGTACTAAATAAAAATAGAAATTGTGATTTGATAATATATATCCACATATTTGTGTTAGAAGAAAAATCAACTCATACATAAGAGTCTACTTAGTAAACTTATCAATACAGCAGAAAGGGTAGTTAGAAAAAAGACAACAAAAAGCTAAAAGTAAAGATACTGTTAATGGCTGAAGCAGCCACTTTCTGACCCTCCAAACGGCAGTAAAATGCAAGATCAGATCGGTACTTGGTATTGGCAGATTCCCTGAGTTGAAGTATCAGACTATGTATCCAGAGGGAAAAAGTTGGATCGATGATTCCAATAATGACCACTCATGTACACAATGTCAGACTGAGTAGTGAGTAGTTTACCAGAGGTTTCCCAGCTGTGCACCAACGGTAAACGCATGAAGAGGATGAGTGAATGAACTGAGATCTTTCTCACCCTCTATGAAGTCTGGAGGGGAGTATGTGTGCTTCCGCCTGGTGTTGTCTGTGTGTTGCTGAGGTCCATTCAGGTAGTGCAGAGCTGTTTCCACTGTACCTATCAGCTCGTCTCTGCGATCTCTCCTCGCAGGCCTCTCCTCCGGGTGCCTGGTCAGCCCCGTCTCCAGCTGGTACACCCTGAGTGACACAACAAAAAACGCACTCTATGAAGAGGCATGAGGTAAGAATTAGCATCAGAAGTAGGTTACACGGTTACTCCTGGAGGCCCTGATGGCTCTACTGGTGTCCTTACAGAAAAACAACTGCCGCACTCACCTACGCAGGGTGAAAGTGTCATAAGGAATCACTGCATATTCGCTGGGCAGCTTTACACCTGAGTTCACCTCCGCCTGGCTCAGCTGGGAGTGGAAGAACTCCTGGGGGACATAATGTAACATGAACTACTACATCTATAATGTCAAATTTCATTTTTCTCATCAGCACTCATGGATTCTGCATCAAATCATGTGTGTTCCTACCTTCAGGTCAGACAGTGTCGGGGTTTTGTGCAGACTCGCCACACCGTGAGGCAGAATCCCTTTTATTTTAGCTTTATCCAGGGACTCCTGAAGCTGCTGCGTCCTCTCCTGGAGAGCCTCCTTTAGCTGGGCTATCTGCTTTGTTAAGCTGTTAATGTAATGTCTATGAGAGTCCTCCCTCTCCTGCAACAAGGCCATGTATCCCTCCTTACTGGTGGCCCCTCCAGACCACAGCAGAGACTGCTGGCTGCTGTGAGAGGTTGGTTTACAGGCCAGGAGGTAGAACAGGGACAGACAGCAGCAGAGGCCCAGCACAAGAAGGCCGACCCGGGGCAGCAGAGCTATAAGCCACCGTTTAAACATGGTGGATTGTCTTTTTAAATATCCTGAAACACTTAAGGCTTATAAAATCATGACTGTACTTTTGTCAAGTGGAGATGCACCTGCAAAATGATGAGCAACCCATAGTTCCTAAAACACAGTTACAATAATGTGGCTTTTTGAGAAGACGTCCTTCTGTTTTCTCATGTCATCCGCGTCTGTCACATCCTCAGGCAGCATCTTCAGAGGGCATCCCAACATTAATTTCTCTTAAATATTGAACCAATCTTTTTGTGTCACATGTAAGCGCCGAGATCACCACCAGAGCGTTGAAACTCCTACAATGACAATGATACACATTTTAAAACAGTGGTTTCCAACCTTTAAAGTGGACCTATTTTGCTTTTTCATATTTTCTGGCATTTCTACAATGTTACAGTGTCAGATGTTCATGTTAAACATGGCCAAAGCTTCAAATATTTAGGTAAAACTATTTAAAAGAAATCCCTGTGAGCCAAAACCTCAGATATCCCCCTGATTTGAATGCTATGTTTTAAACAGTTTTTTGTACTAACGGCTCGGTATGATGTCATTCCAAGCTGGATTTCCATATATGGTCATTTGCTCCAGGCAGAGAATGCTGGTCACACCCACAAAGGAACATGCAGCCCAATCCTGCGGCAACCTGGTAAACACAGAAGACAATGGCCAATCAGAATCAGAATCAGTTTTATTCAAAGTTTTCACGTGGCGTCACATTCCAAGGAAAACGCTCCCTTGGAGGGCAAAAAAGACGTTATTTTCCGTTGCCTGCCAACCAGTAAGCAAGTGATACACTGTTACTTTGAGTTTGTTACTTTTTGCATTGCCAAAATGCTGGATGGTTGTTGTGCTTTCGGATTTACTAATCGAGGAGGAGGTGAGGGATTCCCCAGAAGGTAAAAGTAAACATTACCTCAGTCGAGCGGTGGTTTAACGGTAGAAATGTGGCAGGGGATGCTGTAACGTTAAATGGATTGGATATGCCCAACACTTGCAGTTTGTGTTCATATCTTTCTTTTTCTTAAGTTGAAAGGTGATCCAAAGAACATTTGACTGCTTTTAATTACAGGTTTTGTACACGAACCATGAGCAGTTGAACTAACAAGATTGCATTAGCTTATTTCAGCTTCTGAGGGCAGCGAGACAGAAAAAGAACCAATAATTTAGACACAGTTTGTGCCAAATGCAGCATGCTACCATGCTCATAGTGACATTGCTAACATGCTGATGCAAAGCAGGTGTAATGTTGATCTTGTTCACCATCTTAGTTTAGCAAGTTAGCATGCTAGCATTTGCTAAGTTAGCACTAATCACGAAACATAGTTGAAGCTGATGGGAATGGCATTATCCAGGGACTTCTGTAAAAGTATTTTTCCTAAACCAAAGTTTTACATATTACAGGAAAAGCCAGTGGATCACCAACATTATTATGGTTCATCCTCTGGGGACCATGAATGTCTGTACAATCGTTCCAATCGTTGACTGATATTTTAGTCTGGATCAAAGTACTGGACTGATGACAGACCAGATGCCACTAGCATGGCTACAAAGCAAGAATTAGATAAAAGTCAGATGAAATCATTGTGATTGTGGGTGAAAGAATTGTTTTAAGCATCAGGTGACCCCTTTAGATTTATCTAGGGACCCCTTGGCGGTTCCCGACCCCTTGGCGGTTCCCGACCCTTGGTAACCACTATACCAAGAATTATTGATTAGTCAAGTGTTAAATCATTCACACTCAGAAAGATCTAATGTTGTTGATTGTGCACCAAAAATAGCAACATTTCATTGCAAGATTGGCTTTATTACAAGAAAAAAACACAGAAGTAGGAGAGACTTTGACATGAAGGAAATGTTATGAATCAAATGAGAACCGGAGAGAGTGAACCAACCAACCTCGTGAGTCTTGTCCTGATGTGCCTCGGCTTATTTCATTACCAGTCCACACCACGCATCCTCGTCTTCTCACTGCTGTTGGACTGCTGGTCAGGTTTAGGTTGGCTGCTATAAAATGCACAGAAAGAGAAATATCTTGACCTTACATTCAGTGCCACGACGCTGAAGGAAGTGACAAAAACAAGCATTTCTCTGTGTGTCCGTGTGTGTGTGTTTTGTGTGTGTGTTGCCATCATCAGTTTATTCACAGCACAGATGGCTCTTTATTGCTCAGGTAGAGGCTGATCTCATGAAAGACTTGCTTATGTTTCCAGGTCCACCCAAGCAGTGTGTGCGTGTGTGTGTGTGTGAGAGAGAGAGAGAGAAAGAGAGAGAGCGTGTGTTGGTGATCACAGATGCATGTGTTCATACCATGCAGAACCATTTAAAGCAATCTACCATTAAGTCATTTTTCATAAAAACTTTATACCTGTTTTGGACCCTGCACGCCAATAGCTTTTCGGCTTAAATATTATGGTTATGGTCTTTCATCTCTTGCGGCTCATTTAAAAGTCTTTCTATTTTAAAATGAGTGCAAGCTTTCATCATGCTGTCATTTCAGCTGAACACCTTACAGGCTGTAAATCACAGTGGGTCATCAGATTTATGAGTTTCCATGATGAAACTGATTGTAAAAACACTGAGATCACAGTCTGAAACGAGCAAACATCCTCCCCCAACACATACGTAACACTCTACAAAGTTGTAATTAACGCCATTTCAAAAAAACAGGATTTTGACATAATCACCAGCTGTTGTGAATCTCAAAGGAAAGTTGTGAGACAGATGTCCATCATCCTGAACTGCTCGACTCTCCTGAAATCAAGTGTTTCTCAACGATTCTTGCAGGCTTTTGCTTTGTAGTCTTGCCAGGAAAGCGTCCATACAATCAACAACAACATCAACTCTCTGTGGCCTTCCAGGAGTAAACTGAATGTTGTCCTGCTGAGGTCTGAGTGCCTCCTCTCTCCCCCATCCTATCTCCTCTCAGTCTCCACCTTTTCCCAGCACCTCCCTCTCCTCTCTCTCTCTCTTTCTATCAGACCCAGCGTTCACTTCCATCCCATATGAGATCTCACACCATCTGCCTTCATCCTGAATTCCCTTTCAGGTCCTCTGAGGCTGTGCCCGTCCCTTAAGTCTAATTAAAAGGCAACTGGAGTAAGGAATGCCCTTTAGACTTTCGATGCTCTGCCACCTGCAATCTGTTGCAGGGAAATAGCTAGGTACCAGTTGGATCCCACCAACAGGACTGGGGTCTTGCACATTTAATGAGGAAGCATACAGATGGTCCTTGTTTTCATTCGGATGTCAAATCCTGAGCTCTGACTCCTCTAAATCTGGCTTCTGTTTCCCCTGCAATTTAGGAGGAAGGGATTTTCTTGTAAATGGAGATTTGGTATCCAATATGAATACATTTACTGTATAATGGTATTAATTCGTTGTTATTTCTAAAGTTTCTGAAATGTTAGTAATGTCATACAGCAATGACTTAATTCAATTCAAATATTTTTAAAGTAAAGGACAAAGGCTCCAGGAAAAGAGTTCATTGTTTTCCGTCTGCTTCTTCTTATATTATTAATATAATATTATTGCTTCATTATTGCATTTTTCCAGCAGTGGAATGTTGCTAAATGTAGATCCATTGTGTCTCAAGCTGAGATGGAGATTATTCACACTTTTCCATCCCATCTAGACACCTTTAAAAGTTGTTAAACACACCTTTGTTTTTTATCTCTAATTTATTTACCACTTTTATTTATTTCTGTTTTTGTCCAGTCTTACGGGCTTGTATTCGCTCAGCATCAGCAAATAATTCATAGATACACACATAAACATTGCGAGTATCAGTTCAAATAACTAGACATTTTAGAACTTTCAGAACTTTTTAGCACTGGAAAAAAAATACAAACATTTTCTGAATTACCTTCAGTGGTATTTATCCTTGCAGATAGTTTTGGTTTAAATTGATAAATCTCACGGCTATGTGCACATCTAGATACCACAACAAGCAAATGAAAAATAAATTAAGGGAAATTATCACACCCTTCAAGCCAAAACATCTTTCTTAGTTAACACTTACTGGATGTCAGTCACTGGACTAACTAATGCTTACAACACTGGAACATTTATTGTGACATGTAAGGCTTATTATTACCACACTGGAAATAAGAAGACACAACATTACTGCTGTTTTAAAAAATGTTTGCTTTTTTGTCTTGTGAACTAGACAGTTTTACCTATCCAGAACTTATATTAAACAATTTGAGAAGGAAATATCTGTGGCAGGGTGTGCAAGTAGGTCACAAGACAAAAAGGTTGAGAACTAGTGAACTAATTTCATACAGTGTTAGACATTATTTCACCTGATGATGGCGCCAGATACACAACTACCAAGAAATAAAGAAGAGAAGCTGGGCAAAACAGACAACTGTATTTATTATTGTTTCAAGTTATTTACTGTTGTATTACAAAATATGGAATGTGGCCAGAATCAGATTGAACATTTCTCTTCTTCGTGTGCCGAAAATGCAACAGGATAGCCTTTTTTTTTCTTGGTTCACGGACTCATGTGGTCTCAACAGCCTCACCTTGCGTGTTTGGCTTTTAATTACAGTGCAGGTGCCTTCTGTATCTGGAATATGTGCTTTGCGAGTTTTGTGCTCAATTTAGGCAGTGTTTTGCTGTCTGAATCGCTGTAAATCACAAAAAAACAACCTACGACAGAGGAATGTAAAACAGAATCACCAACAATAACGCCACAAAAATGGCTGCCTATGAAAGTGAGATTTAGTTGCTTCCCGGATGAATTCACAGAACAACACCGAGGGCCTGTACTGCTGCCTCCCTTATCTTCAGATGAAGCAGCATCTCTGCTGCTTCATAGGCTTTAATAAAAGATTCACCACACCTGAAAACAAGGGACCGGCTGTGCTGCATCCAAAACTTAGTCTAACATTTTAGTAGTACAAGGGTTTTCATGAATTCAAAGTGCAATATCTAAAAGAAATCTTCAACATATTTCTACAAAGAACCAAACTGTCACAGCGAGAGGCAGGAGGTGTCCATCTATATTAACACAATAAAAACATGAACAATTAAAACATCCCAGTGGAAAAATCAGCTGGAGCATCAACACACATGATATCACTGTAGAGGTTGGCACCAATATGGATTTTACACAGTAATAATTTCAACATATCAGCAAACAAATCAATTGGTTTGTGAGAAAGATGAAAACACGGATGAATTTGCTGCTTCTTCTAAGTAACATGAATAATTTAGTTCTGGCATGGATTCATCTTTTCCATCATTTTTTTTTATGCCAAATACGTAATTGCTTACACTAAGTCTTTAAAAATAAGCTTTCCATTTACTTGAAAGCAGTTTTAATCAACCCTGTGTATGTTTTGGCAACAGTATTATGTATTATCTTATGGCCTTTGTTTCTAGACATCTCCACACATTTTAAACCTTGTTTTTATCAACATGACTGTATTTTTAGCAGTGTAACTGTCAACATGTTATTGTGCTACTGCCGGGGTTGTTGAGCAGAAAATATGAATTTGTCTATATGGCTTTGTCTCAAAACGTTTTGTCTGAAAGAATTTAACAAGAGTTTTGATAACCTCATACAATGGCATACAACACTCAGAGGGGATCAGTGCCTTCTGCCCGGCGCATGTCATCCTTACTTTTCCACATCGTTGTGAAAAATTCAACTGTGTCTCTTCCACTTCAGTGGTGCCATTAACCTCACTTGAGGCAACAAGAGAAGATGTGATGGAACAGGTGAACAGGGAGATGTTGAAAGAAGAGTGGTGGGGTGATGTGTGGGTGGCTGGAGATAATCTCTCAGACACTACAAGGTGTTGTGCTGCCATCTCAGAGATGGTTGCTAGGCAACATCATCATCCGTAGTCTTTCTCCGGGTGGTAACTAGGTTACCCCAACTTAACATCATCATCTTGGTGTTTTTGCTGTGTTTTTAACAGCAAAAACAATGTCCCTCTTCCTGTTGGTTGTTAACTTTTACCAGCTGGTTTGGCCGGGCACATGCGTCCCACCCAAACTGGCGGGCATTGAGATGTTACACCAATTCATCCAGGAGAGTCCCTATGCTGTGGTGCTGCTCAGGGGGCCCAGCTATGGGTTTGTTGCACATGGGGCAGACGCAGCGCACCTCCAACCACTTTACCAGACACCTGTGAAGAACAACACAGACAGGAGAGACATTAAAAGAGAAGCCAAACTGGGGCGCTTTTCAGCAAATGTCCCATGCAAGCCATACTTGTGGCCCATGTACAGGGGTACATTAGTACAGTATTGAGAAATTTTACTAAATATAGCACTACCACACTATAAAATACTCCATTACAAGTAAAAGCCCTGCCCTCATGATTTTACTAAAGTAAAAGTATTAGCAAAATGTACTTAAAGTATCAAAAGTTGTACACAAGAGATTACCTGCACTTTTAAACATTTAAAACCATGACAGGTAAGGTCTGTTCATTTGGTGCTATGGAGTGAAATAAACGGCCTCCTGTAATCAAGGAGGTGCAGAATCTTTAAGAAAAAGGTCAAACAGAGTCTGCTGGTCATTTTAATACATTGTAAATGGGTTTTAAAATATTCACATATATAAATTATTTACATATTTAAACATAAATGGACCGTTGTACTTTGATGTTTGTCATAATGTGATCAGGTGTCTTGCGCTTTGGACACTGAACAGCTAACTTCATCTTGTTGTGGAGAAGACAATCTAATGAACCATCAGAGACCACGATGGAAATAAGTCCTGGACTTTGACGTGTCATCCCTATCAACTGTCTTATACACTGGTATTTCCATTTTTACTATTGTATTTGTAATTGTGTCAAATAAACTAAACTAAATTTATGTCTGGACTATTATACATCAATGTGCATTTTGAAGTTTTAGCTGGTTAGCTTGTTGATAATTTAATTTCATACAGACATACAGTACATCTGGCGGGTAGTTCAATCTGTAACAATGCGTGACGTTTTTTACACTGATCATATTTTTTGCAGGTAAAATACTGACAAGTAACTAGTAAAAAAATAAATGTAGATCTAGATGAGATATGTTTTTTTTCTTTGAAATGTAATGAAGTAGAAGCAGCAGAAGATATAAAAGTATCTCAAAACTGTTTTTAAGTACAGAATTTGAGTAAATCTACTTAGTTACATTCACCAACATTGCATGAGTACGGACTCACACATTCATGTGAAGCTTTGGAGGAAGTTTAATAAGGAAGTTATTTTCTCTCAGATTTTCCTTTACTCCCCTATGAGTGGATTTCTGCTATTCCTTCCTGCTCTACTTTTCTCCAGTACGTCTGCTTTCCACGCTGTCAAAGTTACTACATTACATTTAAGTACTACATTCTCAATTCTGACATCAGCACATCCAGCCAGTTTTTGCCCACATTCCTCCAGACAATCTTCAAATATCACTGCAATTCTGTCATTACATCTTTCAGACAGCCTACCACCTCCAGGATGTTCAGGGAGATTCAGTGGAGATTTTCCAGCTTTACTCTACAACCACCGGTGTCCAGACTTCGCCTATCTCCTATTTTCATATGACCCAACACTTAGTGAAGATGACTCACTAATCAAGTCTTTCTTTATTAACAAATACTGTTACACTCTTCTAATTGATCTCTCTTAATTAAACTGTAATTTGAAAGTGACACCGGTGGAAGAAGGCCAGATATTTTATTAGTAAAAGTATAGTACAGACCAGGCACCCGGACAGCTGCTGTAACAATTGGTTTGCATAACCAAAGAATTTCTGCACAAACTGTCAGGAACTGTCTCAGGGAAGCTCTGCATCTGCATGCTCGTCGTCCTCATTGGGGTCTCAACCTGACTGCAACTTCGCACAGC